ACTATATAAGTAACATATGAATACATCCTTATCATAAAAAAGTCAAACACAAAACACTGCCCCATTTGATAAGTCCTCCATACTGTTACCCTCTTGGAGACAAACAACTGCTGTCGTACAGCTCTTTACCTTCCGGGGTGCTAGGCGACAGCCACCCCATGAAGGTAGTTCTGGAGCCCAAACACGCTTTTGCTCTTCTGAAGTCCTAGGCCAGTTTTCAACAAAGCAGTCAACATTCATACTGGACGTCTTCTCACCTCCTGTCCTACCACCCCTGTGTCTGCCGTGCGTGACCCCTAGACACCCCCTACCCACCCAGGCACCCCCGCCCCCATGAATCCCTCCCTGCAAAAGAACCCTACTGTCCACACTTAGGAAGCAACCAGATAAACTGGATTATTCCCTCATTGGATATTTAGCTTGGACTGTTTTCCAGAGGCGCCTGCACTTTCATACTGGATTCTTAAAGAGTGAGAAAGTTGTCAAGATCCAGTGACTTGCGTCACTGCCTCTCAGGCACTGGGGCCGCCTGGGTTCCACTTTCGTTGGTCAGCTTCTCTGAACCTGCAAATTTATATCACTTCGGCAATGACCTCTTCAGCTAGCTGTGTGGCCTTGGGAAAATTACTAACTTCTCTGAATTGCATTAACTCATCTGCAGAACGGGAATAACCTCCTTCATTGAGTTGTTGTGAAGCTTAGATGGGATTATGCATGCACAGCCCTAAGGACTATGCCTGGCACATCGTCAAGATGCAATTAATGTTAGTAATCATCATCATCATCATCATTTTTACTCTAATCTGTAATCAAATCCTTTTTTTTTTTTTTGAGACAGAGTCTTGCTCTGTCTCCCCGGGTAGAGTGCAATGGTGTGATCATAGCTCACAGTAACCTCAAACTCCGGGGCTCAAGCTATCCTGCCTCAGCTTCCCAAGTAGCTGGGACTACAGGCACACGCCACCACACCTGGCTAATTTTTTCTATTTTTGGTAGAGATGGGGTCTTGTTCTTGTTCAGACTGGTCTCGAACTCCTGAGCTCAAGCGATCCTCCTGTCTCAGCTTCCCAGACTGCTAGGATTACAGGCGTGAGCCACCGTGCCCGGCCCACTTATTTATGAACTATTTATTGAGCACCTACTATGTGCCAGGCACATTTGTCCTCAATCCTGGGAGTAGAGCAAGAGTCAGAAAACGTTCCTGCCTTCAAGGGGCTTATATTCTGGTACAAATGTACTGCACCTTTCTGTTTGATAAGCACTTTCTTCCCCATTGTGTTATGTGGTCCTCACAAATGCCTTTGAGTCAGGCAAAGGCAGTACGATTGTCCTCATTGCACAGATGAAAAGCTGAGGCTTAGAGAATTAAGCTAATGGAGACAGCTATTAATAGAAACTGACCAGGTACGACTTGCTCTGGGTTCTTCCTGACTCCAGTTTCAGTGCTCTCTCGTGATAGATACTGATGATGGCTTTTGGGTGCAGAGGTGGTGGGCCTGGAAGCAGCTCCCAGAGCCTTGAGAACCCTGACCCCCCAATAGGAGCACAAAAGAGAGTCAGGAGCTGCCCTTGGTGTGCCTCTCTGAGTCCCAGTTAGTTCTGTCCATAAAGTCTGTCAATCAGCTGGGCCTAATACCGCATTCCTCTGCCTGGTGTCAGCCTTGGGGGCCTGGAGGAGACTTTATCTTAGGGAAAGTGTTTGCTCCTGGTCATGACAGCAGGCAGGTCAGCTGTCTGAGAGTGCTTCCTCCTGGGCTCCGCACAGAGCAGGAGAGAAGATGGCTAGGCCTGTAGGCCCAATCACCAAACTGCATGGGCTTGGGTTTCATCTTCAGTTGGACTTTGCACAACCTGCGTCTGGTTATTTGCTATTCATCTACGTGTTTATTTATTTGCTTATAATATAGTGAACCCACTGCAAATTCTTCCCTTATGTTCTTCCCTTCTTATTACTCTACCATCCCCACCCCATCCTGAATCTGGAGTTTATCATTCTTTTGCATTTCTGAAAAATGGTTTTATTTCATATATTTTTCTAAAAGCTATATTATTTAGATTTGTTGTTTTTTCCTTGCTTAAGAGAATATTCTGCTGTATGTTGCCTTGTGGGATATAATTTTTTCTCAAAAAGTTATGTTGCTAAAATTCATCCATACTGTAGCATACAGCTATGATTCCACGACTATATTATAGTCCTCTCTATTATGTTCCACATGCACTTATTTAATCTCCTGTTAATGGACATTTGGGTTGTTACCAGCTTTCCACTACTTTGAACATGGCGAGCTGAACGTTCTTGTGTATGTCTTTAGGTAAACAATGTGAATTTACCAGTGTACACTCCCACCAACGACAAATATATAAAGATCCTATGGATCCATATTCTCTCTGACATTGGTATTATCAGACTTCTTCCTTTTTTCCAACTGAAAGGGTACTAAGTGGTATCTCATGTGGTCTCTTCATGTTCCTTGACTTTCCAGGTAATGGCTTATAGTGGTCGGTGGTGCAGTGAGGATCACCCTGCAAGGGGACCGTGAGGATTTAGTGAAGCACAGTATGCTTGCAAAGCCTCTCTCAATTGGGACCATTGTCTTATTCAGCTCTGGGTCTGCAGTACCCAACACAGTGCCTGGTACCTCATCATTATCTTCATTGGCATCATCATACCAACAACAATACAACAATAATTATAGATAACACTTATTGCTTATTAATTGCCAGATGCTATGTTAACTAACACCTTTACTTTTATTATCTCAATTAATCATTGCAGAAACACTAAAAGGTAGGTTCCATATTACTGTCATTTTGTAGATAGGAAACCGAAACTAAGTACCTTTCCTGGAATCACACAACTATAAACGATAGAGCCAGGATCTGAACTCCGGCATCTGACATCTAAGTCCTTAACCTCTATATTATAGGTGCCCAATACATTATTGAATGAAGTACCTTTACCTATTGCATTGGTCTGTTTTCATAACACAATACCTGGATAATTTATAAAGTAAAGAAATTTATTTCTTATAGTTATAGAGGCTGAGAAGTCCCAGGTGTAGGATCTGTGTCTGGTGAGAGCCTTCTTGCTAGTGGGTACTCTGCAGAGACTGAGGAGGCCCAGGGCATTAATGGTGAGGGAGCCGCATGTGCCAACCTGCTAGCTCAGGTCTCTCTTCCTTTTCTTATAAAGCCACCAGTTCCCCTACCATGATAACCCATTATATCCATTCCGATGGATGGATTAATTCATTCACAAGGGCAGAGCCCTTGTGATCCGATCACCTCTTAAATGCCCCAGCTCTCAACACTGCCACATCGGGGATTAAAGTCCAACAGGAGTTTTGGAGAAGACAAATATTTAAACCATAGTACCTACCCACAACCAGAGGGTCACATGCCATGGCACTTTTACTTTTGATCGCCTATAAAATATGTTCAAATTGCACCCACATTTTTATTATAAACAAAACTTAAAGATTTTTATAATTTTACTCTAGTCAAATGTAACTGATCTAATTTATGATTGGTTATAATTGCTCAGTAATCATTATGCAGACTTGAGAACGTTCACTGTGAGATCTAACCTACGTATTGTTCTCAAATGTCATGAGATGTTTACCAATTTCTCCTTTACCAACAATTCCCCAACCCTGCTCTATTTTTTCTCTTATCTGTCATATGTACTACCTCTAACATACCATATAATTTACTTATTATTGCATCTAGTATTCACTTATTTATTTATTTTAGAGACAGGTTCTCTCTCTGTCACCCCAGCTAGAGTGCGGTGGCATCATCATAGCTCATAGCAACCTCAAACTCCTGGGCCCAAGTGATCCTCCTGCCTCAGCCTCCCAAGTAGCTGGGACTACAGGCATGCGCCACCATGCCCGGCTAATTTTTTCTATTTTCAGTAGAGATGGGGTCTCACTCTTGCTCAGGCTGGTCTTGAACTCCTGACTTCAAGGGATCCTCCCACATCAGCCTCCCAGAGTGCTAGGATTACAGGCGTGAGCCACCACACCCCGCCTATTGCCTTTATTGTTGACCCACAAGGGCAGGAATATTTGTTGCTTAGTTCTGTCTGCATCTTTAATTGGTTTAGCACTTGTATATCCCTGGTGCCTATAACCGTGCCTGGCACAGAGAAGCAGCTCAACAAGTATTTGCTGAATGGATAAATGTACGTTTGCAGGAATGAATGAATGGAGGGAGTGAATGAATCAATGAGTACTAAAACAGTTCATGAAAATTGACTATATTATTTTGATTTTGTGGTTTTCTTGTTTATTGGGGGGCCAGCTATTTTTTCAGGTTTCAAACATTTCTGTAGGCTGGTAGAAAAGTTGGAAGGCCTGAGATTTTGTATCTGTAATGCCTAAGGGACAAAACAGTCCTGACCCGAAGACCCAAAACAATGTTTTGTTGCCTTTTCCTTTCTCTCTTGTAAACCAGCAACATCAACAAGAGCAGCCTGCCTCCAGTGCGACTCTGGCAGTGAGGCAGGAGACATTAAAAACAAAACCAAACCAAAAACTCCTTGGCAGCTTTAATAGAGCGATTTTTCTAGCAATCTACATTGGTGTCCAGGCCCAGCACACCCCATTACATATGCAAAACGTCTGACATTGGTGCTACAGGCTCTTAACCCCTAGCTGTTATTCTTATTTCCAAACTAGGGTGCACTAGATAAATGCAGAAATCAGGAACCATCGCTCCTAGTCAAATGTCTGTGGCTCAGTTCTCAGAGCCCGGCCGAACGAGTAATTATAGCTTCCCTCCATGGTGTACAGGGCAGGAGGCTGATTTAATAAAGGAAGCCTGCTGTCTGTCTCCAGTCCGGCTCTGACTCATGGAACTAGGGAGTCCCAGAAGCGCTACCCGCAGAGGGTGGTGAGCAGCCAGGGGTGGGAGGCGAGGTGGCCGGCTAGCAAGGCCGGGCCGAGAGCCCCAGAACGAGGAAACTCCCTGCTTGGCCAGGAGGAACCTGCAGCTGGAGCCAGAGGAAGTGAGGCTCAGACAGAGCAGCTGCCGTTCCAGCAACAGCAGCAACTGCCGCACCCTTGAAAGGAGGCCTCTGCCGTGTGGACGCGCACGATAAAATGGGTTAGTAGTTTTCGTATTCAGAATTAATTGGGGGGAGCGATCGAATTGCCTCTAATAGGGATGGCTGCCTTTGTGTGATGTACCAGTGTCTTTGCTTTCTTTTAGGGGGCCTGGGTCGACGAGGTCTGGAGTGATGAGCATTCTTTTAACTTGCTTTCTCACTTTGGCAGGGAGGCCGCTAATTAGGTCTCCACAACCACAGAGACAGTTTGAGCTGGGAGTGGTTTCAGCCGCATGGAGGGTGACAGCCCGCTCTGAAGTGGATTTGGATTCCACGGTAGAGAGGTCACCAGAGGTCATTTTATCTCTCCTGTCTCTAGCAGCTTCTCCTTCCTGCCCTGACAACCAGCCAGCCAGAGGCAACTTGACCTTCTCCTGCACGCCCTGCAGGGCAGGAGATTCCGGCTCCGCCCCTTCCCTTCCCTTCCCTTCCCGCTGAGTCACACACCTCGCGGTCAGGTGATCCTCCCCTGGGCCCTTCCGAGAGCACCTTGACCTATATTCCGCACTCTCCGTGCCTGCAGATTCTAATCGTCCGGAGAGGAGGCCCGCCTAGCCGGCGGGCGTGGTGCCCTGGCAGCCCCGGGCCGCAGGCGAGGCGTCCCGGGAGGGGGTGCTCCCGCTCCGAGCACGACCCGAGGGGCCTGGCCATGCAAAGTTGGGAGTCTGGGAGTCTGGAGCTGCGTGCCGGGCGGTGGTGCGTTGACTCAGCTGGGAATGCCGGCAGCCCCTGGGAGCCGCGTGCTTCCTCCCCTCCCTCTGTGGGCGCGGGCAGCTCCCTGCCAGCCCCTGACTGTGCAGACTGCTGGCGGTGGAGTGGTGGAGGGCAGATGTCGCTGTGGCTGGGTGATCTTGCTGCCCGCGGGAAGGGGAGAGGTGAGGAACTCTGCCAGTAATGGGATAAACCTAGATGACTCATTCGGAGAATGTGAGCCGAGGAAAACTTCCCCCCACCACAGGGAACAAATTCCCATCTCCAAATTATCCACAAAATGGCCTCTACTTATTTTGTCTATGGGTTCTTTGTGCAGTTGCTGCCTGTGCAGGCTTTGTGTCCCCTGAATGTGAGGATGACGGGGTGCTATGGGAAAGCGGATTGAAAGAGAAGTGTTCAGAGTCCAACTTGAAGCCTCATCCTCGGGTGTCCAGCCTGTAAAAAGCTGTATTAACCTGTGAAAAGCTATAGTAACTGAAGATCACAGTTTCTTTTGCATTAGAAAGGGCTCTGAATTTAGAGTCATTCTTTATAGCCTGGCTTTACCAGTTAGTAGCTCTGTGACCTTGGCAACTCACTATAGGCCTCAGTCTCCAATCTGTAATATGGGGATTTTAATAAAACCATGCTACTACTACTACATCAGATGGTGCGAACATGAAATCAGATGATATGCATAAAATATATAATTATGCATAACTATGTAACATTTTCTCAAAGTGGCTAAATCACTGCCCCATTCTCATTTGAGATTATTTTATTTGTTCAATGTACTCATAGAAGAGCCTACCTCTGGGTGTGTTTACAAGTATAAATAGAAAACTGTAGCCTCTGGCTACATGATTTACCACCTCTAAGGAGCAGCCCCACATAGCTTGTTTACACATTACCCACAGGTTTGGTGTACATCGTTTTGTTCTTTTATATCAAGAAAAGCAGTGAGTTTATCATGATGTAGACAAAAGTATGATAAACACACAATTTTTTAATCAGGATGTAAACTTATGAAGTTACTGCCTGGTACACAGAGGGTGCGAAATGGTAGACCAGGTGGAAATTAGATAAATGGAGAGAAATAAGAAGGGAAGAAGGAAAGAAATTGGGCAACTATATGAGCAGAGCTGGATTTACCAGGAAGCTAATTATGCTTCAACTTCAGGGCCTTTCACTTGCGTGTGTGCCTGTCAAGGCCTTGTGCCTAATTTTTAATTCATAATTATGTATTCTTTTCCTAAAGAGAGTCCCCAGTACGTATACACTTTAGGCCCCACCAAACCTGGATCTGCCCCTTTACAGGTGTCTTTGAGAGACTTTACCCTTTGTTCTTGTTTAAGATTCTTCTTTTTAAGAAACAAGATACAACTCTTGTCACCCAGGCTGGAGTGCAGTGGCCCAATCATAGCTGACTGTAACCTCGACCTCCTGGGTTAAAGAGATCCTCTCATCTCAGCCTCCCAAGTAGCTGGGAGTACAGGTGTGAGCCACTGTGCCAAGGCCCTTGTTTGAGATTCTTAAGCACAAATGAAAATGCAAGTAGGTGGGGACTGTAGTATTTCCATGTAGTCTCCACCATGAACTCAGAGATCCACATGTAGGCCAGGCAAGAACAACAACGTGAGGAATGGGGGTATAGAAAGCGGGTCGAGCAGAATTACTGGGCCAATTCCAGTTGACTTCCGTAATTCACTCGAGTACTTCCAGGGCTCTTAAGTTGCCAGAAGTTTTGAATCTGGGCCATGCTGGTTGCACTGCATAGGGCAATGGAGAAACAATGGCTTGTAATCTGGGACTCTGTTACTAGTCCTGACTGGTCTTCACTAGCGCTCTTTCACTAACTAGTTGTGTGGCCTTGGTGGAGTAACTTAACCTCTTTGGGCTTCAGTTTCTCTACAAATGTGATAGGTGATTTCAGAGCCCCTTGTTTAAGCTTCATGAGGGTAGGGATCAAAACTGCCCTGTTTATACCCATTGTTGAATACAATATCTAATTATAATCATTATTATAGTAACAGCAAATTTTTTCAAAGTGCTTATAGACGAGAAAACTGAAGTTCAGAGCTTTTACATAAACTCCCAGGGTCACCCATCTAGTAAGTGGCAGAACCACAACTAAAGCCCAAGTGGTCTAGCTCCAGAGTCCCTCTTCTTAACCATGACACTCCATGCTATACCCACAATGAATATGGTTTTAATGAATAGATTTTATTTATTTATTTATTTCGAGATAGGGTCTCACTCTGTCGCCCCGGGCTAGATTGTGGTGGCATCATCATAGCTCACTGCAACCTCAAATTACTGGGCTAGGCTCAAGGGATCCTCCTGCCCCAGCCTCTGGAGCAGCTGGAACTACAGGCACGTGCCACCACGCCTGGCTGATTTTTCTAGTTTTTGTAGAGATGGGGACTCGCTGTGTTGCTCAGGCAGGTGTTGAACTCCTGGCCTCAAGTGATCCTCCCATCTCAGCCTCCCAAAGTGCTGGGATTACAAACATGAGCCAATGCACCCAGCCAATGGATTTTATTTTTAGAACAGTTTTAGATTTACAAAAAAATTGAGCAGTTTTAGATTTACAAAAAAATTGAGCAGATAGTATAGAGAGTTTGATGAACGAGCAGATCAATGAATGGAGTGTCACTTGATTGAGACTGTGATTCATTACCCAAGGTACACGGAAAGGGAACTCATCCTTGTGAATTCTCTATGTGCAAAGCACTTTACTTCATTAAGTGCATTACTTCTCTTAATTTTCATAGCCGTCTTGTTAAATAGGTAGCGTTAACCCCATTGTGCAGTGACATCCACCAGCTGAGGGCGTAGGGCTAGAAAGTTCTGATCTGTCTGATTCTAAAGATCACATTTGCTCCTCTGATTGACAGCTTCATAATTATCATCAAAAGGTATTTTTTCTTGTATATACCTAACATTGGTCTTTAGTGCCTTATAGTTTTCAAAATGCTTTTGTATCCTTATTATCTTTTGGTCATCACAACAGCCCAGGAAGGTGGGTGAGACAGCTATTGTAATTCCATTTCATAGAGGAGGCTCCTCAGGCTGAAAAAATTAACACATATGACAAGGGTCGAGGTAGCATCAGGACTGAAACACAGATAGGTTGACTTCCTACTCCATGTCCCTCCCTTCTCACCAAAGCACCCCTCTGTTATAAACTATCTCATTGCGCAGGATTCTTGCTGGGCCTGCGCAGAGGAAATACCTTGTTTGCTATGAGTCCTCAAGGGACCCAGAGGTTGACCAGGGAAATTTTCCCAAAATTTAACCTTTGACTGAATTTAACTTCTTTCCTAAATGTTTGGAGGAAAAGAGTGAACTTTGACACTTCTTTCCTCCATGTATTTAACCAACAAAGAGTTGGCCATTTTCAGTTAGAGAAGGTCGTGTCTGATTTTGATGGCACAGTCAGAAATTGCATTTCCAATGTTGAAAACTCATTTCATGATGGCAGCAAAGAAGGGATTTCCACTCTGCCCTTGGCTGTCAGGCCAATGGAAGCATACCGCTGAAGCAAGCAAATTATCTTGGGCACTTCTTCCTTGACAGACCCTAGCTGGAAGCACCCAACTCATCATCCTAGAGTAGAGGTTCTTTTTAAAATTATTATAATTAATTAATCTTTGTATTTTGAAAAAACTTCAAACCTACAGAAATGGTTCAAGAAAGTTACAATGAACTCCCTTCTCTATACCTCCTAGATTAAGAAGGATTTAATTGTTAAAATCTCATTTCATATAATTTTATTTTTCTTTAAAATATCAATTTTATTTGTTTTAAGTAGGAATTACATTTGTTTGGTTCAAAAATCAGAAGGATACACAGTGAGATGTCTCCCCCAAACCCTGTCCATCATTGTCCAGTGCCTTTTCTAGAAGAAGCCAATAATTTCAGTTTCTTATGTACCCTTTCAGAGATATTTCATATGTATATAAGGAATGTGTGTACGTACATATGTATACAAGGAATATGTGTGAATTCTTGTTTTACCTTTTTTTTTTATGGTAGTATACTCTCATTCCACAAGTTGATTTTCTCATTTGAAATCATTCTAATTCATTTCACAGTTTTTAAAGTGATTTTATTGTGTTCTGTGTATGAATGTTACATAATCTGGTTAACCAGTTCCCTAAGGTGATCACTTACGTTGTTCCAAACTTTTGCCAATACTAATAGTACTGCAATGGATAACCTTGTATGTATGTTATTCTATAGGAGGGCTTGCCGCTTTTAATAGAAACTGGAATCAAAGTTCTACTATAAGACTATGTCCAGA